TATTTACATATTATGTTGCGTACACTTTGAAAAGAATGGTGGGATACCATTTTGGGGAAATCTGTGTCTTTTGCTTTTATATTTAAAACAGGGGACCCGCCTTGATTATTTTATATTATATATGGTATATACCGTATAAAACCTTCCTATCCCCATCCTTGCCTTTTTCACTTTAATATTACTTTAAGTGTTAAATGTTTAGTGGCTGACAGGTTTACTGCAATCCTGTTTGTAATAGGAGTACCAACCTTGCTTTGTAGTCTGAGTGGCAACAGTCACCATGTCGCTCATAGAAACAGAGTTCTTCTCTCGCGTGGGTGCCTTGTGCTGCTCCTCACTCTGCAGGGGTTACAAAAGATAAAAATTCATTGTTTCTCGATATTTGTATATGATAAAAAGTGATGGAATGCACACTTGGCAATTAGAATATTAACTTCTTCAAAGCAAACAATATACAGACTTTTGAATATCCCAATAAGTATAATACATGAATGCAGAAAACTGACTTATCAAGAAGCATAATATTTATTCTGCCTATTTATCAAAATTTCAGTGATCAAGAATATATACTGTTAACCTAATAAAACACTTGCTGTTGCTTACTAGGTGAAAGACCAAAGTGCAGTAACCCATAACCACCATGTGTTATTGTATAAACTGCTCTAATCTGCTGCCAAGAGGAAACTGGTTTGGGCTCATTCCTGTTTGGCTTTTAAAAACAAAACAGTATTTTTGTCTTATCCATAAAATCTTTTTCGTGGAGAACATCACAGGACACAGGAGTTCCTTCTGGACCCAATGGGTTATATAGCTACCTTCAGGAAAATTGGACATTGGCAAAACAAAGCTGTATAACCCTCCAACTCCCAGCCTGCCTCAGTTTGTTTGCTAGTGGTCTTAGGTGATGTGGCATCTTCTCTTTGCTCTAAGCAGCATATCCTTTCTGTAATTTTCTGCTCAAGACTCTTCTAGCAAATTTTCTTTAAGCCAGTGTGGCACCTCTTAGCAGCTATCTGCTTTTTATCTCAGCCAAGGCTTGGTTGAAGATGCGGGGCTGGCCTCAGCACAAAGGCCGATCATAGATGTGGGGATGTCTGGACAGCTAGACAACAGCTTTGGAGAAGGTCCTGTCCCCTCTTGGAACACTGTTTCTGCCAGTCCTATACTCTTTTACCCTTTGCTACACGCCTCAGGGTCACCATCTGCATCCTCTCCTGCTATCTAGTGAGGTATTTCGTTCTGTAATGGCTGACTTCATGGGGAAAATGTAAAACAAACAACTATGAGTCCTCAGACTGCATGGGGTGCAAGCAGGACCCCTCACCTTCGCCATCAGACCTTCCTCAGGGAGTGCAAAGGCAAGCAGAGGAAGAAGTGGCTGCATCCAGTTCAGTAGGCTCAGCCCAAGAAGAGGACGCACCTCCTGACATTTCTTCTAAGCTCAAGGACATGTCTATCCTTGTAAATGCAGTGCATATTTGTTTACAGTTAGAGCTGCCTGCATCGGCCTTGCTCAAGGTCACTAATGTGGGCTCTGTATAAGGGCCCAAACCTGCTAATACCTCCCATGTACATTATTTTACAGCCTGTGTTGTATGGTGACTGGGATCACCCATAAAAATTGTTTACTACTCCCATTGCTCAGCAATACCCTGTTGAAGAAGGTTTACTTAAGAAATGGGTTGTTCCTGTTGTAAACCCAGATATCTCTTGTTTGGACAAGACAAAACACTCCCCGTAGATAATATGCCTTTTTTCAAGAACCATGTGGACAAAACGGTTAGAAGACCAGCTGGTACCACTATGGCGGTGTGTCAGACATTATCTCTATGGTCAAAATCTATGGCTAGGGATCCTGGGTCCACCTTGATGGATCCTGACACTGTTTGTGTTGATGGCATGACTGATAGCCTTAGGCAAATCTCCAGAAAGGGTTTCCTGTCTCCGCATGCAATGGATCCTATGACTGAAATGCTGGTTTACATAGTTTCCGTGCAAAAAGTTCCTCGAGTCCATGCCTTTTTGGCAAATCCTTGGACACTTACATCAAGGAAGTTAATGGGGGCGAGCACCTTCATCTCTCAGAAGTCTAAGCCTTTCCTCTGCACCCTCCTTTAAGAATAAAATAAATTTTGTCCCTCCCAGTCCTTAGGTTCTAAGTCCAAGCCAAGCGCTCAGTTCAGTCATAACTCCTGACCCTCGAAGCCCACAAAATCTTGGTTCACAATGAAGGGCTCCTCCACTTTCATTGGCCTTCTCTACCTTCTGGGTCTCGGACATTCCAGACAACTGGGTTCATTGCATCGTAACCAAGGATTGCAATCTGGAGTTTTGTTCTCTGCCTCCTACTTGCTTCCTGCTGTCAAACATGCCAATATTGCCTCAAAGAGGGGCAGATCTACTTGCTACTCTACACCTTCTTTCTCGGGGAGTCATAGTCCACATTCCAGCCCATCAATGCTACCTGTTTTTTGTTGTGGACACCCAACACTACCAATTTGTTGCACTTCTATTTGGCCTGTGCACTGCAACTCGGTTATTCACCAAGGCGCTGGCCCCTTAGGAGATCACCATAGAGAGGGGATGTCACAAGTTATTATTATTACTACATAGTATTTATATAGCGCCAACAGTTTGCGCAGCGCTTTACAATATAAGGAAGACATTACAATCACAATAAAATTCAAGACAAGATGGTAAGGAGGGCCCTGCCACTGAGGGCTTACAATCTAAAAGAGGAGGGGGAAATGATACATGAGGAGGTACTTGTGTGGGGATGAATTATTTGAGAATGTGATGGTTCAATGGTTAGGTTGAAGTGTCCCCTATACTCATTCCGGTGATGCCAACTTGGTTCTGTTGGTCTCTGCAGAAGCTGCCCCTTGAACTTGAGCTATACCACTGACCCTAATCACTTGCAAGATTGCCTTACCCATTGCCATCACATCTCCCAGGTGCGTTTTTGATGGCCTTTATCTGTAAAGAGCCTTATTTTTTTCCCACGGTGGTCTCTTCCTTCAACTTTAACCAGGATATTGTCTTACCATCCTTATGTGGTGCACAAACATTCTAAAGAAATTTCTCTACACAGGTGGTTTGAGCTTACCTCTCCCATTACAGCTTGCATCCACAAGTCTGACTCAGTCAAGAAAATCAGGTGCGTGGCTGTGCTCAAAGACCGACGCGTGCGCATGGTCAATGGACAAGCTGTCCGGGAAATTGAGTTTGAAGTAACACTCAAGGATCTGCGCACGCACAAGGCGAAGCACACACCTTTGCCCGGAGAAGTGCGCACAGACATTGTTCACTTTGATAGGCCTGTGTTGGCAAATACATTTGAGCCTGGGATTACGTGGCTAATGTGCGCAAGCTTAATTAAGCGTGACACTCGCTCTTCTTCATTCCTGAAAGTCCCCATATGGGGCAGCCAGCTTCTTATTTTCTACTATTGGTAAGTGGGTTTGGTGAACTATCACTCAGGCCTATGATTTCAAAAAGGTAAATTCCCCACCTTTCAAGTCAAGGCTCAATCTACTGGATGCGTTGTTTCTGGGGTCTTTCAGCTTCAAGATTCATTATCCTAAATATGCAAGGCTGTTTCTTGGTCCTTTGTTCACAAATTTTGCCTATTTTTCCCAGGGACAAATAACCCCGTTTTCGGCTGGGGTCGGAGCAGTTAAACAGGGCTGTCCTTACAGCTTTGATTTGCCAGTGTCCAATCACCTGAAGGTAGCTGCATAACCCAGAATGAATTCTGTGTGCTGTTATGTGCAATCAAGAAATATATACAGCATTTATTTTATTGAAGTTCTGCTTCACCCCTCCTTTTCCCCAATTTCATGGGCTCATGAACACAAGCTCTTTACGAGGTTTTGCAAGCATCTTCAATTTTGGAAACGTCAGAGCCATCTGTACACCTTAAGAAGATGTCAAAAATGTATTCACATGTATGTATGGGCAAAATAAAAAAAAAAAACATTCAGTACATCGCACCAATACATCACATTTATCAGTTTTGTTTCTTTAAATAACACTTCAAAAACCTGCTGATCTGCCAAAAATCCAGTGAGCAGCAGACCTTCCTGCCATGTGGGTGGTCTGCCATACCTTACTTAGGAAGGCTATTCTACATGGGATTTTTGCTCTGCCATGTTATGGCTCCCCTTAAAATATCTGCCATATGAAATGAAATGTTTCGTTATTTACAATGCACAATATTTATCTGTGGTTTTATGTTTTACTTGAGATACAAATATAAAATGTATATGTCAAATAAATTTAATATTTACTAGATTATTTCAGTTGGAATGTTGACTTTGGTGTAAGGGATTATAGAAGAGTTTTTCCCTGTCTAATCATGTCCCAGAACCTTATGGCTCATATTTACCAAATTTCCACAAATATTGTGGAGGTAGCTTTACAAACACAAGCTGCATTCATCCCAGTTATGCAGGACTCTGCATTTACTTGCACCTGATCAAGAAACCAAGAAAGGGCGTAAAGAACACGGGCTAGCTAAAGAAGTTATAATGGAGACTAAAGGTGGTGGCACTTACGCGTGATTGCCAGGATCTGGAGATGGACGGCCGGTATGGATTTACTTGCACCTGGCAGTTGTTGAGTTTTAGTCCTTTGATATGTAGTAATATTTTTTAACTAGCATGTTACTTCTAATAAAATAACACATATTACTATATAATTGGTGCTGCTGCATGCAGCCATGGGAAAAACTTAAAGAGTAACCAGGAGCAAAACAAATAATGACATATATGATACAGTCTGTCACCAGTATGAACACAGCAGTTTCTGTCCCCATTGTTTTATTACCCGTTGATCCTGCCAGTAGATTTTTTTTATTTTTACACAGTCCAAGATTTCCAGCAAAAGTGCCAGAAGAAATTGGAAAAATCATATTATAATAATGGGGATGTCTACAAGTCAGCTTTCATCCAAAAAAAAAAAAAGGTTCCTGTAACTGCTTTAAAAGGTGTTAGATGGAGTTGGTATAAGAACTTTTCTCAATACACATCCGTCCCATGGATATACAGTACACAATGTGACCAAGACAAAAAACTAGAGAGTTGGAAGCCATCAGGGCTACTGGCTGTGCACAGTTATGAAGAATCATCTTAGAAAAAAACAACATTGAATGACATATCTCAGGCAAGAGGGAGAATGGAATGTAGATCGCATTGTAAGTGGAATTTATTTATAGGCGTATTTCTGCTCCAAGCAACGGTGCACAAAAACAATGCAGACACTAGTAATTCAGAGCTATTAAGTACTTCAGATTGAAAAAGGGCCTGAACAAGGAAAGCACTGTTTATTAAATGGAGAACTGTGCTATCTTTAATCAATCATTCTGCTTTTAAGAACAGGGAATTCCTTGACATTTACAGAATAAAAAAGTGTATTGTTGCTCAGTGTTTTACAAATCAGAACAGGTATATGCCATTTTCTAAAACTCCTTCAAATAAAGAATTCTTTATGGCATGTTTATTTAACCACTTCAAGACCAGGTGTTTAGACCCCCTTCCTGGCCAGGCCATTTTTCAGTATTCAGCGCTGATTTATGAACCTAAGGAATGTACGATGCAATCCTTCCGATTGTTTAAAACAATGGCGATAACTAGTCATTGTACATTAAATCAATAGGGCTCTCCTCCAACAAGAGTGTTTCATTTACCCGATTTTCCTGTTGGGTGAGATTCTGCTCTTTCTTGCCCATACAATTCTCCTTGTGGAGCCCTGTGGTGCTGACTTGTGGAGACTGTAAGATCACCATCTCTGGAAACAACACTTAGGAAAAACAAATATAGGTTGAAGCTTTCACAATAAGCAGAGTGATTTTTTACTGTATATCTGACAATGCAAACAGCTTGAGGTATGGCACAGTAAAAATGGTCTAAAGACTAGGAATTGTTTACATCTCTAAAGGTGGCCATACACTTTACAACCATCGCAAGACCTTAGTCTTGCGATGGTTGTAAAGTAATTAAAAAAACATACGATCTGCCCATCTTGGACAGGCAGAGCGCACTCGCGATAATCGCAAGCGCGCCCCCGAGGGGCAGGCTTCCGATGACCGCAATGCTTAACGGGCAGTGTGCGCGTGCGCACACTGGCCCATTCGGCATTTGTCTCCCGAGCACCGTTCAAACCAGCCGAAAATCGTACGATTTTTGCCTGGTTTTCTAGCGTGCTCCTTAGACAAAAGACGTGCGACCGTACAGTAGAAACGGTCGCACGTCTTCGTTCACACTGCTCGATTCTCGTAGGATCGCAGGATTTCCCGCGATTCTTGTACGAGAATCGAGCAGTGTATGGGCACCTTAAAGCTCTTTCTAACAAACTTTAAAAGGTAAAGTTTATAGCAGTTTGTTAAAATGTATTAGAATACAAAAATTAAAAATAAATATTTTTTAAAAAGTAACTTTTTTTTTTTACACGCAATTTACAATAAATACCATGAATATATGGGCATGCGCACTCTTCTGGACTTTCCGATTTGTAGTAAATGCTGAAGAGAGAGAGAGAGAGAGAGCTCCTTCCCCTCTGTCATCAGCGATCCACGATCATTTTGGTATGTCAGTGTCGGGGGAGAGAGAGAGAGAGAGAGAGAGAGAGAGAGAGAGAGAGAGAGAGAGAGAGAGAAAGGAGCTGGCACACGGGGACGTGCAGGTAAGGAGAGAGCTGCTGCGCATGTCCATATATTCGTGGACACGCAGCAGCTCTCCTGAATCACTGTCAGTCATCAGTGGGGATGTCTTCTCATTGCGGCGCTTAGCCCCGCCCACCACCTAAAATAAGGTTTTACAGCCTTACTGTGCAGTTTGGCTAATTAAAGTAAATTACATTATTTACTTATTTAGCCTAAATATAGTTCTCCTTTAAGAAAATTCACATCTTTACCCAAAATAAAAAAGGGAAATGAAGGGCAGAAGAGTGAAAGACCACATCGGTTTAACATCTGAACTATAGCGGTCATATAGCAAAGATAGAACTGGATCGCTAGCTGATGGACACCAGACACCAACACAAAAACACTTTGTATACAGTGAATTAGAGCCCAATTCATTGAGCTGCCATAGTGCTCAAGTCATATTAACCTGACCTCTCAAGATATGCATTGTTACATTCTGTGTTCCATTTCAAAAAGCAACTTTAGCATGTCTTAAAGAAGAGCTGAACTCTGAAAGCTGTGCCCAAAAAGGCATGCAGAAGGAAAATGAGTTGTCACTTATATTGACTATGGTCTACCTACAGCTGATTTTTTCCCCCATTACTGGCTTGCGTTGCCTTGTTCCATACGGTCTCTATATGAAAGTGGCCATTATTGGTAAAGTAAGGGCTTTGCTTTCTCATGTCAGAGCCTCCACTAAAACAGTGAGCAGCACATTAGTGCCATCACTCTAAAACCATGAGAATAGCAGTCAGAGGCAGCAGTGCTTTAGATCTCAAGCTACACTTCTACAGCTACGACACAACACATTTTGAATTCCTTTCCACTTTCAGGCCTCATTCAGACAGGGCGTACATGTCAGTGCGATGTGCAAGCCCGTGAACGGGCTGATCCCAGGAGGGACAGGTGCTGTGTGTAATTGCACGCAGCAGCCTGTTCTTCCCTATGGGAGGGCGCGGCTGTATGCCGTCATCCACACACCCAAACTTGCACATCCGTGCGGATCTGGGTGTCTGCACTTTGATGCACACTGGCTGTGTATGCCCCATTTGAATGAGGCCTAAGTTCTACTACAGCTTGATGAATCAGGGCTTGACACTCCAGGTGCTTACCTGCTCTTCCAAGATGTTCGGATTGTTCAACAGCAAACTGGCATCTTCTGCTTGTGGTTCTGCACAAAACATGTTGTACAGAACTTGTTTAAATACTAGGCACAAGTATAACCAATCAATGAATTATCAATTTAATTCAAACATTGCTATGGTTTTCCAAGATTAGGGAAAAGCACCCCCCCAAAAAAAACACAACACTCCTTTTATCTTAAAGCGACACTAAACTAAAGTCTTAAAAATAAATTAAAGTACCTTAACTATTAACAACATTTGTTTGTTTATCACTCAGCTATAGATCCTCAAATCATCTCTGAATTGGTGCCGACACTGTCCTTCCTTCTGGAGGGTGGATACTTTGTTCCCCATGTCCCTGTGTGTGATGCAAAGTAGCCACTGCGCCAAGCTCACTCTCGTGATGGACTACAATCTCACATTTAGTTTACTAAAGATTGGTTGGCCAATTATTTTTTCCATTAAATCGGATACAAAAAAAAAATCACTGGGATATTAAAGTGTGCCAGACCTGTATTAAGTTGCAAGGTCAAATGTATTGTGGCGAGTATACTGCGAGAAAAGGGTGCACAGCGTTGGATTTGGAGCACCGCTGGACATTGTTTTTCTTGGAGAAGATTATTACTATATAAAAGTATACAGAGGACACCCATTTAGTAAACTTTTAATAGTAATACTTCTTTGTTTGAGGTGAATATAGGAGGATTATAGATCACTACAGCACTGGGTGGTTTACATCAATTATATAATTAAACACTCATATTAGATATGTAAATGATTTGAGAGTTGTATAAAAGAAGAAGTTTATTTGTACATATTTAAAAAACACACGTAATATATTACTTTATTCTACATTCTTTATTTGCACTTTAAGGGCTGTGTATTGATTTATTCATTTACCACAATTTTGTGGGGTTCCAGCAGCTGGTTTAAGGCATAAAAATTATCTCAGGAGTTGGAAATCAGATTATAGGCGTCAATATTAAATAACCATTCTATGTGTGCGAGAGAAACAGACCTGACTAGCAGGGATACTAGATTACCTAGAATTCGGGATAAGTAACAGAGGAAGGACACACTCCTCTCCCTCCCTGGACCCTTTAGTTAGTCACAGAGTGTCTAAGAGTTCTAAAGAGTTTACAATCAAGAAAACTTAACAACCAATTTGTTAAATATCGTAGAGGAATGTTTTAAAAATTTTACTTAGAATTAGTTAAATGGAATAACTTCAATAAAACTATATTTGAGATTAAATCTTGAAAGCACGCAAACAAAAGATTACTAATAAACGTTTGTCTAGAGTGGAGGGAAAAAAATAATAATGGTTGACTGTAAATCCTGTCCTTTTGAAATCTTATAGAGCTCACATATCTCTGCATATTATATATTGGGGAGAGTCAAACTTTCATTGTGGGAGAATGCAGGTACACACACACATCCCCGCATTCAGTAAGGCCTTGTCCACACCATGTTGAGCTGCGTATTTCTGCACGCAACCACACATGTATGGTGTGAACAAGGCACATAGAAAATAACGGATTTCTATGAGCCATGTTTAAACTATACATGTGCAGAAAAATGCAGCTCAACAGACAAGGTGTAAACAAGCCCTAGTGGACATTAAGGTTTTTATACGGTCTTAAAAGGTGAACTCGTCGAGCCTTACCTTTAGTGTTGCATGCAGTTCTACAGGTACCATCTACTGAACTGAACCGCTTACTCTGATTTCACTGCACATGGTGAGAAGCATTGCATATGGAAGCACAGAGACCCAGGCATGACATCACTGGGTGTAAACTAAGGTAAGTAATTAAATTGGAATGATTTTTTTGTAAGGGGGAGAGAGGAACCAGGGAAGGCAAAATATATGCAGATTAAAAACGTCAGCTTTAATAGACTGCCAATGTTTTGTGACAGACAGCAATTTGGTGCAAGGGGTTTTCCCCACTGTTTGTGCCAATTGCGTATTTCCTTATTCAACATAAAATACAACATTAAATATTCTGTTGCAAAATAAGACCACACTACAGTTTTAAATCTAGCAAACTGGTAACTCTGCATGCTGTGTATACGAGTAAAAGCATATAAGCATGCCTGTTATACGTGAATTCCACATCCATTGGCTCAAAATTATAGGATTGCTCCAAGTTTGAGTTAACTCTTAAGGTGACTTCTTCATCATGTATCTAAAAACAGCAAAAAAAAAAAATAGTAAACATTTGCTGTACTACTTTATAATTTTATGTATATGGTGCACACAAAGACCTAGTAATTACTTATTCACTTTGAATAAAATGGATATTATCTCAGCTTGCCCAAAGTAAGCAGCTGTGCAGCACATATCATAAGTAGCTTTTCAACAAGCAATTACAAGCCTGAGTGTAATTTACAAAAACATTACCAATATGTAACAGGATTCTAAACTAGTAAGAATCATTTGGCACAAAACCTAAATAAAAACGGCTTCAACTATGCCACGAGTGGCTTTGAGACATTCACATAATCAATTTTACAGTCTGCGGTACGTATCTTTTCATCAGTCTAAAGTGCTCATCTACTTCTCTCAGGAGGCTAAAAGCAATATACAAACATGTTTTACTGCAGATCACAAATCATGCCCATCAAACTTTCCCAATTCACTTAAGAAGTCATCACAAAAGAGCCAGTGGAGTGGGTGCAGGCCGGTATAGTATGGAAGGTCCTTCAATGTCCCCATTTTGTTGGTTTTCAAAGCTCAGATTGAACATTGTGTAGGACTGACTGCCTGAGCAGACTGGGGAAGGAGGGGGGTGGGGGGTGGGGGGGGTCACCATTGGAAAGATGTGCATCCAGGCTTCATTTTCTTCTACAGGCCAAACCTTTGTATAACAATCATTTTTCTTACAGAAACAGAACATCCAGTAAATAGAAACCCACACTACATATCTGTTACTGATTTTTTTGGGTGTTTTATTAAACAGTTTGTTCAGCAGATGAGTATGATCTATTTTTTACAAATCATACCCATCTTCTCAAATACCACAATTATCTTTGTTTTTTAACCACCCACATATACTGTATATATTTTACTGCAAATAAAATGTTAAATTTACCGACACTTACTTCAACTACTGTACCCAAGTATTCAACGTCAATAGTGGTGTGTGCTTGGTTTTTTAACAAAACTTTGTCCCCTGGGAGAAAAAGAGTAAAGGATTAACAGGAAGACCAATAGAATGTGCAAAGGGTGTTTACCCACAGAAAACAATTCAGTATTCTTCTTTCAATAACCTGAGCAAAGTAAACCGAAATCTGATTGGCTACTCTGGGCAAATAGGTCAGTCCACCCGAAAGGGATATTTTTGTCATACGTGGAATGAGTCCCCTCTTGGCTTCTTATAACTCATGAAAACTTTGCTGGGGAGGTCTCTTTGCCATAGCCAACAGCTTTGTTCCCACCCACTTTAGGAAGCTTTTACATGTCTCCTTTGGCATTCTACATAATTAAAAATCCAGCCAGAGCCCATGTAACAATCGGTTGGTGGATGTTAGGGTTAGTTCACACCAGATGTAGTTGTAATGCAGTCCGTTCCGTTTGACAGCTGTATCAAAAACGCGTCACAATGCTTTGCAATGGGATTTCTGGTGCTCTGTTCCTACCAGTGCAGTCCGTTCCGATGCAGTCAGAAAAAATACTGCTTGCTCCATTTTAGCTGCACCTGATCGCAACGGAATGCATCAAAATAAAAAAATACAAACTGACTGGACCTCACCTGAAAGCCCATTTTAGTTAAAAATGCATTAAAATTGCTGTAAAAACGCAGCAAAACGCATTGCACGGCAGCTGCACAGACGCACACAGTTTTGGTGTGAACTAGCCCTTATAGAGTAAAAGCCACCTAACACTTAAACAAGAGGTTTTGTTGAACTGACTTAAACTGCACTAACAAAAGAACAATTAAATTTCAATTTATTTTTGATTAATTGGATAAAAAATAAAAACGCAAATACCATCTTTTATTTAAAATACACAAATGGAAAGTTTAATTTAGAATAAAACTGCATACACATTTTTTGCAATTGCACGGCACTGGATTATATATTACGGAAAATTATCATACTTACCGTAATTTTCCTTTCCTGGCTCATCCTCATGTGGGCACAGTACGGGTCAGCTCCTCCCCCACAGGACCACCTTTAACAAGCCAATAAAAAGGGAGATCCCCTCCCCCAGTACCTGTTCAATAAAACGCCGAGCGACAGGTCAACCAGGGAAGGGAATGCATGCCGACATGAGGATGAGCCAGGAAAGGAAAATTACAGTAAGTATGATAACACTTTTCCGTATTCCTGGCTCACCTCATGTCGGCACAGTACGGGATATGCCACATCCAACTTGTAGTGCCTAACAAAAGGTGTTCTGCGAGCTACACCTCGCATAAGTCCTCTATCGAGACCCTTGGCATATGAAGCCCAGGACGTCGCCACTCCCCTTGTCGAGTGGGCTCGCACTTCCACCGGAGGAGTAAGACCCTGCTGTACATATGCTGCTTTGATGACAGACTGAATCCACAGACAAAAAACTTTAGGAGGTGCGTTAAAACCTCTTTTTGATACTTTTGGAAAGATGAACAGTCGATCAGATCTGCGAAAAACTTCCGTTCTATGAAGATCCTCCCTCATGAGTTCGACTAAATCCAGACTGAATCCGAATTCGAAGATTGGGCCAGACTCTTACACCCTGTGAGAATTATTTCCCAATCTGAATGAAATGAAGAAACAACCTTCGGCCTGAACTCTGGTGAAGGCCGTAACACAACTGTATCGGCCAATAACACACAAAATGGCTCTTTACATGAAAGAGCCGCCAATTTGTAGACTCTTTTCGCTGATGTGATGGCAATGAGAAAAAGTAAATTCTGTGTAAGGTACCATAGGGTGCACTGCGACAGAGGATGATATGGTGGAGCGCTAAGGCAGTCAAGACTAAGTCCAGGTCCCAGGATGGGAACAGAGCTTTCCCAGGAGGCCGCAACTTCAGGGCCACTCTCATGAATCTCCGCAGGAGGATCATCTGCCCATTTGATTCCCATGAATGCCGACAAGGCTGGAATTTGTACTCTCAAAGAGTTGTAGGCTAGGCCCGCATCCAGGGCCGACTGTAAAAATCCTAGAACATTAGGCAATTCTGCCCGTAATGGTGAAAAATTATTTTGCTCTGCAAACTCCAGAAATTTGTTCCAAATCCTGGAATAAGTGGTGTTAGTTGATGGACCTCTAGACCGTATCAAGGTCTCCATCACCTTTGCCGACAATCCTTGACTCTTCCACCTTGAGGATTCAGCAACCATGCTGCTAGATGGAGCCTCTTGGGGTTTGGGTGTTGCCAGTGATCCTGCACCCGTAGATCCTGCCAGTCCGGAAAGAACCATGGGGGAGAGGGCCATCGCCATCCGTTGTAAGAGTGGAAACCATGGCCTCCTCAGCCAAAACGGTAGGATTAAAATAATCGCTCCCTTGTCTTGCCGTATTTTCTGGAGTACCGAGGGCCAACGGTAGAAACAGATAAGCCAGTGGAAAGTCCCATATGGGTGAGAACGCATCCTGCGTCACTGCCTCCCGACAGCCGTGTCTCGAGACAAAACAGGGCACCTTCGCATTCTGCGCTGTGGCCATCAAGTCGATTTAGAGTTAGCTATGAATATTGGTCCCAGATTATTGCTCTCACTCTGGCACACGCGGCGATACCCGATGTGTAGTGCAATCATCGTTTTTGTACATGGGTGCACCCAACTTGTGTTCCCATTAGTATGCACGTGTTTGTGGGGCCAGGAGACTTTACATTTTTTAGGGGGTATTTTTAATTTAATTTTTAACTTTATTGCTATCACATGGGAGGGCTCACAAGCCCCCTATGTGATAGCACATTGGAGGTGACAGGTTCTCTTTAAGGTGAAACTAGGGGCCTGTTACATTCAAGAAGCGCAATTACAACAGCAGGCCAGGAAGCGGTTAAAGGACTTACCTGGGTAGAGTGATGGTCTTCCCTCAATGATGCCAGGCACGTCAAGTATTAGAAACCCACCACATTTCTGCAGGCACACACCACTTAGGCTACACGCCTTCATTTCTCTCTCATTGTGAATATCCTCAAGCCAAAGCAAAGTTGACATCTTCTTTCGATAATTTGCTAAATGAAGGACCTGGAGACGAGAGAAGGGATGTGTAAAAAAATGTCAGATGTAAAAGTGATCATTTTAAATATGGTTCAACATAATGAAATCCCAAAAAGTTAAATTTGGAAAAATCATATACTTAAAAAGGGAATGTTTATTGCTTGTTCGTGTGTTCTTTGCCTATTTAAAATAAATACATAATTATTTTTTTTAATAAATGTAAAATATTGCAAGTGCATTAGCTGTATTCTCATTTTCAGCCAACAGATGGAGCTCTAGTGTGCACGGCCATCATATATACCAGGGGTAGCCCTCCAGCTGTGATGAAACTACAAATCTAATTAGGCATTGCAAGACTGACAGGCAAGATGGAATTTGTAGTTTCACCAAAGCTGGAGGGCTGGAGCTTGCCTAACCCTGATATATGCTTTTGCCAACATAAACACGTTTGCTAATAGTGCTCAACAGCTCAAGCTGAAATGAAATTTATACACAGGAGTGAAGTGTCAAAAGAAGTGACTCTTTCCCATAATCATACTCTGTACTGAAATCTTTAAAACATGCATGTTACTTTTAAGATGGTCATGTTTAATACTGGGATGAGTAAAGAAATTCTACATGTTACAAAAACATGTCATTAAGGAACGCAGGGAGAGTGCTGCAGCCCCACCGTTAAGCTACCGCTACTCCGCTGGTCTCATGACGAAAAACATTGTTTAGTGTCAGGTATTATAAAAACTACATAAAGATCACACAAAAAGTGACTTTCACATGTATATAAAAACGACACCAATCTAAACAAATGGTTCAAGGAACAAGCACACTATTAGACATAAAAATTCGTACAGCCACACAAGAAAGCCACAGTGAAGCCTGCAAGCTGAGATTTCCCCAGTATGTGCAGAAAAAAGACAAACAATAATAATTTTGACAGAGCATATAAAAAAAAAAACTAAAAAAAAAAAACTTACTTCTCCCAGGCTAGGTTCTATTGCCAATACATCCATATTTTGTTCAATGCATTTCTGCAGCCTCTCTGGGATGGTATAAGATGGAAGAAAACTGGGAAGCTGTCTTCTTGATACCCTATTAAATACAGTATGCCCAAAATAATATTATATTGTGAGGGCAATGTCAGAACTTTAAACATCTTTGGAACAATGAATAGGAAAATAGGATTTTTGACTTACTTGCAAAATACTTTTCTTCAAGTACATTACAGGACATGGGATCAGAGACTTAGACAATGGGAAATCCAAAAGCAGTGCAGTGTAGTGGGCAACAACAGAAAACAAAAGCCAAAAAGGTCCATATAAACGATGGCTGGAAAGAGGATTCGATAAGCTCAAAGAGCAGCTTAAAGTACCTTACACCCAAAACTGACATCAGACGAGGCCAGGAATGACAAACAGTTAATTGCATTGTCTAAAAGAAGCTGTAGCTGAGAGGTAGACCCACACAGTGTGCACCACATCTAGACAGTGGAGAGATATTTCCTTAGAAAGTTTCAGGGCAGGACAGAGAGAAGGAAGAACAATGTCCTGCTTAAGGTGGAATTAAAAAACAAAACAAAAAACACACCTTGGGAAGAAAGGAGGCCTCAAAACAACCCGTGTAACACTAGGCCGCTACTTCAGAGACTCTCCTCTCAGAGGTGATAGCAACGAGGAAGCCAACCTTGTGAGCATAGGTCGACAGTGGACTATCTATCATGGGTTCAAAGGATGGCTTTTGAAGGGCCAACGGAACCAGGTTGAGATAGCAAGGGTGTCCCTTGGGAGTGCATTGTCAGTAACATCCAGCACAAGGCTTTCACCAAGAAATGAGAGGCAAGTGGTCTTTGGAACAGAATAGCTAGGGCTAGGATTGACCCTTGATTGTACTCAAAGCTGATCCAGACCAACAACAGGATTTGTCTCACAGAGCACTTCCTACGATGGAACTTCCTAGTCTGTCACTACGTAAATTAGGCCTTCCAGGTGCTATGGTAGACTTTGCGAGAAGGCAACTTCCTAGCCTTTTAGAGTGTAGGGATGACTCTCCGGACTAGGGTACAACAGCCAAGCTGTTAAAGCTAGCAACCGAGAATCAGTATGGTGGAGCAGCGCCTGGGACAGAAGATCTGGATGAACCGGAATGGCCCATGGAGAGTCTGCCAGGAGTATTACTAGAACCACGTTGTCCTGGGTTAGCCTGGTCACCAGAATTCCCTTCATAGCGATCCTGCGGAGCTCATGGCCCTTACAGTCTGAGGCCTCTAAAAAGAAGGAAAGTTTTCCCATAAAGTCACTCAAATACAAGGACCTGATCTGAGCACCACATCCAAAAGACCAATAAAACTAGAAATAAACCACAACGTTGTTAAAAATTGGACTTTTCAGGTGCTACAATGTAGGGCTGCAGCTAACTTTTATTTTCATAATCGATTAGTTGGTTGATTATTTTTTCCATTAATCCGATTACATTTTTTGTTTATTAAATACCATCTTTTATTTAAATTGAAATACAGAAATAGAGTGCTACAAAACGTATATATTATTATACACACACACATATATAATAAATAAAAGCCTAGTCATCAATTTAGAGTTAGAGCAATAAATCTGGGGCCAATAATTATGGTTCACTCTGGCGCAAGCGGCGATACCCGACGTGTAGAGTAAAAATCTGTTTTGCATATAGGCGCACCAACTTCTGTTTACGTTAGTATGGGCGCGGTCGCCGGAATTTAAACTTTGTTTGGGGTATTTTATTTTATCTCATTTCCATCACATGGGGGGCTCACAAGCCACCTATGTGATAGCACATTGGAGATGACAGGTTCACTTTAAGGTGACATTAGGGGTCTATAAGAGGCAGCTGAATGTAAACACAACACAGTGGCTGGGAGCTATAGCTAGCCTGCTATTGGCTATTTTAAATTGTAATAGCCAATAGCAGGCTGGCTAGTACACTCGCCCACTGTTAATCAGCAGAGGGAGCTGAAGAGAAAGTTCTCCTTCAGGTCCTCCTCTGGTGACTGACAGCAGGCGGGTGCAATAGCCAGCCTGCTATTGCAATTTAAAATAGCCAATAGCAAGCTGGCAATTGCTCCTTGCCGCTGGATGGGAGACTTGACGCCGTCTTTTTACCGCCGGCAGAAGGGGCACAGGGGCAGCAGAGCATCCAGGGCAGCAGCAGAGGCACAGAGGAGGTTCGGGGGCATAAAGGGAGGATCGCGGGCAGCATCGGAGGCACGTAGGAAGCATAGAAGGATCACAGGCAGAATCGGTCTCTACTCCCCGCTGATCGCTGATGGGGTCTGTGATCAAAAGGGGACACAGACAGAAGCAAGCAGTGACTTCCAAGAAGGAGAAAAGGTGGAGCAGAGCGACGGCAGCAACTAATCGAAAATGAGAATCGTTGACAAAGATTCTCATTATTTATTAAATTGATTAGTTGTTGCAGCCCTACTACAATGACACACCAGTTTATAAAAAAAAATAAATACAGACTTTAAACAGACTAACAAAAGTAGTTTTGTGTGCCAATGCCCTATCACCTGAATGCAGCTGCATATAATCCTTGTTCTAAGAATCTGATCCAGTGTCCTGTAATGTAAGATTCAGAAATTATTGGTATAAATTCTGTCCTCCGTCAGCCTTCTTACAGATTATTGTGATGGTATGTGGTAACAAAAGTATCAGGTTTGCCTTTTTGGCAACTACAGCCTTGTGTGGTACCTGTGCAAACAGGGTAAAAAAAAAAAAATCAGCACAAATTGATTAAGATATTAAGTTTTTTTCTTTTCGGACATCCTTTGGAATGTTAAGATAGAAAAAAAACTGCACTAGGAATCATGTAACACTCTAAGAGCAGCTGTGCTTAATAGGCGAGTACACCCAAAATAGGAGAAAAGAAAAGAGCACTGCGCTTCAAACTCAGAAATTATTCCTCAAATGTGAGAAAAAAAATAGTATGAAATGTGAAATTGTCACAAAGTGATAAACAATTTTGTGTCATACACAACACCTGTGTTGCACAATGCCTGTGCTGATGATTTGGACATCTGCAATCAGGTTTTAGATATAAAGGGAAAAGAATGAACAGGGGTGGTCTAGATATGCTTCTATGACAGGGGGTTTGCAAAAGTCATTAAAAGGCAGACACCATGTTGTTTTGAACATGATACTCTTGCTTTTAATTTAAATTTTTATATTTATTTAAGCACATGCCTTTTTTGTGGTGCAGAAAGAATGATGCTTCGTTTACATTCTGGTCCCTGCATGGTTTTGTTGTTTCTGGAAGTATATTCTTTAGAAGGCAGCAATAAGCATTCCTCTTCACTTTCAATTGTAGCTTCAATGTAGCGTCCTATCAAAAAGTCTTGGAAAAAAAATAAAACAAGCTCTTTGCATCGGCCTGGGTTTCTGAGAAATAAAATAACAGGATTCATTATTACTAAAACCTCCAGTTTCATTTTTCATACACACACTAATGCAACATAAAAATAACATCGAGGAGTAAAGAGGTGATCAGTGTGACGATAATGAGGTTTGAGTCTATTAATATTAAAACTAACTAAAGCAAATAGTATTTAATTGTAGGTGATCTTAGCCCGACTCTTCTTTAGGTCTCTTCAAATTCCAGAAAAACAGAGATCTGCTAATCTGAACCTGTATAGTTATTAAAAGGGGACCTTTACACTCAAAAATCTAAATTCTACCAATGCATTCCTCTCTGTATGATTAATAATAACAGACATGTCAGGTGTAAAATGCTGCGATTTTCAAATACTTACACTTGCAGAGCATTCACTTCCTGCTTTGAAACTGCAAATTACTTCAGTTTGCCAAAGCAATGCACACTGGGAATTGTCTTGTCATCAGCAAAGCATTGCTGAGGAATCTCATCTCAGTGAAAGGCAATTTCCTCCCCTGAGATGATGTGCATGGTCACATATCTAGTCATATGTGCCACAAATCCAGGAAGTAATAGGAGAGCGAGTCATCTGCCCTTAGTAAACATGGCCATTGTCAGACGACAGGGGGGGGGGAAAGGTGTGCAAAAAATACAAAGCTAGCAATTATCTAGAAGTATGTCTTCGTAGATTGTCTTTACAAAACATTTCTAAAAAGGTGTGTTTGTTGTTATTTTAAAAGATGTGGGTAAAGGTCCGCTTTAAGTGAAACACTAAAACTGTTTTCCCCTGGACGTGGTAGGGCTCAGCTTAAATTACTTCTTTATGAGCGGTGCCATAAACTGCTGATGCAATAAAATACTATTGCCCAGCTCAGCTAATCACCTAATAAATTAGCAAGTGACAGCTTTAGATAAACAACGGAGGGCCTAGTAAGGATAATGACCGTGGTCACATTCCAGTAATAAAACGGAGTTCCAATATCAACTCAATTTTATAACTTCTAATTGGACAGTAATATTGTAAAGTTACATGCACCAATAGCCGTGTCTCGTCGAGACAGAAACAGACATACCAAAAACATACAGATTACAATACTCTGGGGCCCAACAGGCAACATTTACCTTCCTGGACCCCCATCATTCATATCTCTGGCAAGTTTGGTTTCAATTGAAAGCATTATATTTAGGGGTTGTGGGACCGTATTGAATATAAATACCCCATTATACTCTTAATTATGAATTTAACAGTTTAGGAGGAGCAGAGGAGGAGATCGTAAAGGCTCGTCCCTGCTTCTCTCAGTCTCCAGCCCTGCCCTAGGGCCTGGCTCCGTGACACCCCCTAGAGGGCTGACAAAAAGATGCTGCTGAGGCAACAAGAAGAAGCTCTTGTTTGTAACATCAAGAAAGGAACTCCTGCAACATCAAGAAGTTTGTAACATCCCAGAAGAGTTTCCCTTTACACCTGGAAATCAACCATCTGTGCAAGCCTTGCTTGAAGAGCCACATCGATCTCCCTTTGCTTATTGAAATCTGGACTCTGTCAGAACCCATAAACCCAGGACTGTTAAGTATTTTCTTTTTATTCCCTTTTGTTTTACCTCTCTTTATTAAAATATTTTTTTCTGCACTGTCTCTTTTGTTAAAGGATGATCTTAAGAGTCGTTAAGCTTATCTCTACGCTCTAAATACGAACTCAAAGTATCCTTGTCTCTGTGAAGAGTGCTACCGTATAGTTAAACCTGTCATATTCATGTCTGAGAGGGCAGCGCTATTATAGGCTTTGTTTAAGTTTTTCCGTCACCACTTCCTTTAAAGTACGTGGTGGCAATGAGCGTTTGGTGTGTAACGGGTTAACTGCGGTGTAAACCTACCTTGGTGATGATCGTTCTCAGTCTGCTGGCCCAAGATTGTTGTCCCGCGAGTCGGGAAATCTCTGTGCAGGGTGAGGCCATTACCACATCCTTGTGACAGCACGCTCGGTTCAGAGCTGCGTATAGTCACGTGTGATTGACGTACAGCGGGTTTGGGCCAGGTGTACGTCACAAGTGGCACACATTAAATAACTAAATCCTAAAACAACTCCGAAAAAAACTAGAGAGCTCTATAGGTTGAACTCTGGCTATGTAGAGCTACATAAAAAAAATAAATGGCACAAATAAACAATGTTTTCCATGAAACACAACCTGTTACAATTCCTAGAAAAAACACAACCCCCCCCCCAAAACAAAATACCAAAACCAATAACTTTTTTCACTTTGATTTTAGCTTTGATTACTCAAAGCAAAAGTACATAAGCTGAAACGGTGGTCTAGAGTTACCACAGTCCATACCAACTAGACATTGACTCTTTAAGCCAGTGGTCAAATTACTATATATAGGGGATCTAAGTGAAACTCTCATCACCAATGGATCAAGCATTTAATTCAGTAAATGTAATTCTGCAAAACACTGTCAGAAAAACATAGCTATGCTGCAGGAGTGACCTGAGGGATAGGATAGAATTGTGAGTTATGCTTGGCTGCACTGCACTGGCTGTGCGGAGAGATGATCTTCCAAACTCTAAATAGAATACTTGAAGGATATCAATTTGCATTTAGAAGATTGTGACTCCTTATGATGTTACTCATGGTGTTTGTTTTTTTTTCTTTGAAAATGTGAAATAATTTAAAGGCTTTTTCTAACTGAGGCCAGAATCTGTCACTGCTTCCAAAAGCTCAACAGAGGGTTGGATAAAACTAACTGGACAAATAAATATATTCCACTAAACATAAATGTGTACCTTGCTTCACACATGATGGTGATAGAAGTCTTCTCTCCAGGAAGAATCCTTAATGGTTCATTACAGTCAGACTGATACGTTTCTACATTGTTCATATCCAAGCACAAATCACTGTTTTTAAAATGTCCATAGTATTTTCTGAGATGGTTATTGTTCTCTAAATGAACTTCTGGAGTATCACTATTCAAACAATTAACAGGACGGGGGCATATTGCTGTTAAAGGGTGTGTGGGGCCATGCAGCCCTTTAGAATACAACGAAGTTATATGGGGAACATGATAAAAATTTACATTTAAGCGATTAGAAGACATTAAATCAGCAGACTGAGATATAGTTCCCTCATTCTCACGACTAGTATCATAGTTTACAGCTTTAGTTTTTTGTTCGGATATTGGTGAGGACTTTGGTGTCTCCAATGAAGCATTATTTAAACAGTCTGGCTTGGAAGCACACATTACAAACTTGAACTTGTTTTCTTTTTCCAATCCCACAGTTTTGCAAGCAACCAATGCATGAGAATAATTTCCTTTATTCCTGTTAAAAAGAAAAAAAAAAAACACCCGCTCAAGCAACTATAATATATCTACAGCAAAAAAAAAAATTGCAATCTCTTTTTCCTGAACGCCAATTACCTCAGTTACCAAATCTAATTTTTAAAATGCCTTAAGTTTTTTCCAACCATTAATTTAACAAACACAAAAAAAAACAAAAAACAGAGAAAACAAGATTTGACTGTTCACTGGGTAGGGTACCATTTTCGCTTTTACAGTCATTTTTTTCCAGCCAGTTTTTTTTCATTTTGGATTGGATAGAATAGGAAGGGACAGCACCTCTGTCAGGTTATTGCCATCTGGGTTTCTGTTGGGCAGATTTACATTTGATATGTGCTGGTAATCAGTCAATCCTAAATTTCGGGTTGCTATCGGAACAGAAATGGGTGCAAAATCCTCTAATGGGGACCTCTGTCTAAGTGTGGATTTTTTTTATTCATTCCTGTTGCATCCATTGGACAAAACGTGACGTTAATTCTTCCTAATGAAGCACACCCCCCCCCCCCCCCCCCCAAAAACAGACATTCCCACACATCCACAGGGGTATTATAAGTATA